GAATGGATTTGGCTTCTTTGTCAAATATTGAGTATTCATAGGTGTGTGGGTTTATTTCTGGGTCTTCTATGCGGTTCCATTGATCCTCCTTTCTGTTTCTATGCCAATACCATGCAGTTTTTATTACTGTTGCCCTGTAGTACAGCTTGAGATCGGGAATGGAGATACCTCCAGATGATCTGTTGTTGTACAGGATCGTTTTGGAGATTCTGGGTTTTTTGTTTCTCCATATGAAGCTGAGAATCTTTTTTTCAAGGTCTGTAAAGAATTGAGTTGGTATTTTGATGGGAATTGCATTGAAACTGTAGATTGCTTTTGGCAGGATGACCATTTTCACAATGTTAATCCTACCAATCCATGAGCACAGGAGATCTTTCCATCTTCTGAGATCTTCTTCAATTTCTTTCTTCAGAGACTTGAAGTTTTTCTCAAACAGAGGGAACAGGATGGGAGCCTACCACAGATCTCCTCTAAAAGATTTCACCCAATGGGGGATCAAAGCAGATGCAGAGATGCACAGCTGAACTTTGGAGAGACCTCAGGGAGTCTTATGGATGAAGGGGTATATAGAAGGGCTCTGAGGGGACAGAAGCCCCACAAGGTGACCAAGAGAGCAAAAAAGAAAAAAAAATTGGCCCAGGCGGGAGTTCAGAGACTGAAGCATCAACCAAAAACCATGAAAAGATAGGCCTAGACCTCCTGTTCAGATGTAGCCCACAAATAGCCCAGTCTCCATGTGAGTTCCCTAGTAAAGAAAGAAGAGATAGTCTCTGACATGAACTTGGTTGCCTGCTCCTTGGTCACTTCTCTTTTTGGAGGTGACCTAGCCATCACACAGAAGAAGAGGATACAGACAGTCCTGATGGGACCTGATAGGCTAGGGTCAGACAGTACAGGAATAGGACTTCTCCTATTAGTGGACTAGGGGAGAGGGATATGGGAGGAAGAGTGAGGGAGGGAGGGAATGGGAGGAGATGAGGGAGGGATCTACAACTGGGATACAAAGTGAATAAATTGTAAATAATAAGGATGATGATGAGGGTGATGATGAGGATTATTTCAATTTATTGGGTAGACATATTCCAGGATATATTTGAGGTTATGGTAAACTGAATTTGTTTTCAATTTTATTTCTTGTTATGTTTGTCATTGGCATATAGAAGCACAATTAATTGTCAATTTAAATGTATTGTATTTTAATATTATTTTACATTAACTACATGGGTATGTTGCCTGAATGTAGGTCTGGCAATTGGGGGGGCATTGTATATCCTAGAAATAGAGAGACCAGCTTGTGAGAACCACGTGGATTCTGGGAATCAAACCTAGATCCTTTGCAAGATCAGCAAATAATCATAACCACTGAGCCGTTTCTCCAGCCCCAAAATTACTCAGTTTTGCATGTTAACTTTTTATTCTGCTATTTTGCTGCATGGAATTATTAGCTGAAGGAATTTTCTGGAGAAGTATTTAGACAATATGTAGAATCATATCACCTGCAAATAAAGATACTTTGGCTCCTTCCTTTCCTGTTTATACACTTTATGTTCTTCTCTACATTCTTGCAAATAAAACTTACTGTGTTTGTTCAAACTGTGAATACAATCGGAAATAAGATTAGATTTATAACAGCATTTCTTGAGTTATGGCAGTAATATTTACCTGGCATAATTGTGGTGTTATAAATTTGTTTTATTTTGTCTTTTCTTTAGGGAAAACAGCAAAATCAGTCCCCTACTACAATAAATTACACAGCCGATTTTTCCACATTTGGGGAAATTGTAAAGGTCTGCACAGCCCAAGTGCAATGGATGAGTCTCGCCCTGGAAAATCCATCTTCCTGATCATGATCTCACCATTCCAAGGTAAATATATATATAAATTTTAAAATCATAACTTTCTATCTCCCCCTTCTTTCATAACATTCCCTGCATTCTGTCCAAAGTTTGGCTATGATTCTCAGCATCTGCATTGATACCCTGTATGGTAGAGTCTTTCAGAGGCCTGCTGTGATAGGCTCCTGTCTTATTTCCTGTTTTCTCCCTCCTCTGATGTCCATCCTCTTTGCCTTTCTGAGTGAGGACTGAATATCTTAGCCAGAGTCCTCCTTTTTGTTTAACTTCTCTATGTGTACATGTTTTAGTATGTTTATCCTCTAATATATGTCTAATATCCACTTATAAGTGAGTATATACAGTGTGTGTCTTTCTGATTCTGGGATACTTCAATCAGGATGACATGTTTTCTAGTTCCCACCATTTGCCTGCAAATTTCATGATTTCTTTGGTTTTAATTACTGATTGGTATTCCACTGTGTAAATGTACCACAATTTCTGTATCCATTCCTCCGTTGATGGACATCTGGGTTGTTTTCAGGTTCTGGCTATTATGAATAAAGCTGCTATGACCATGATTGAGCAAACGTCCTTGCTGAATACTTGAGCGTTTTTGGATATATGCCTAGGAGTGGTATAGCTGGATCTTGAGGAAGCACTATTCCAAATTGTCTGAAAAAGCACCAGATTGATTTTCTTTTCTTTTTTTTTTAATTTTATTTTTTTTCTTATCAGTTACATTTTATTAACTCTGTATCCCTGCCGTGTCCCGATCCCTCATTCCCTCCCAGTCCCTCCCTCCCTCACTCATCTCCACCGTGCCCCTTTCCAAGTCCACTGATAGGGGGGACCTCCTCCCCATTCACACCAGATTGATTTTCAAGTTTACATTCCCATCAGCAGTGGAGGAGGGTTTCCCTTTCTCCACATCCTCTCCAGTATGTGTTGTCACTTGATATTTTGATCTTAGCCATTCTGATGGGTGTTAATGTGAAATTTTAGGGTTCTTTTGATTTGCATTTCCCTGATGATTAAGGATGTTGAGCATTTCTTTAAGTGTTTCTCTGTCATTTGACAGTCTTCTGTTGAAAATTCTCTGTTTAATTCTGTACCCCATTTTTATTTGGATTACTTGATTTTTTGCTCTTTAATTTCTTGAGTTCTTTATATATTCTTGATATTAGCCCTCTGTCATGTATAGGGTTGGTAAAGATCCTTTCCCAATCTGTAGGCAGTCATTTTGTTCTGACGACAGTGTCCTTTGCTTTACAGAAGCTTTTTAGTTTCATGAGGTCCCATTTGTTGATTGTTGCTCCTCCAGCCTGTGCTGTTGGTGCTCTGTTCAGGAAGTTGTCTCCTGTGCCAATGTCTCCAGCTCTTCCCCACTTTTTCTTCTAACAGGATTAGTGTATCTGTTTTTATGTTGAGGTCTTTGATACACTTGGGCTTTAGTTATGCGCAGGGTGATAAGTATGGATCTCTGCATGTTTCTACATGTAGTCATCCTGTTACACCAACACCATTATTTGAAGTTGTTGTCTTTTTTCCATTGTATGGTTTTGGCTTCGATGTCAAAAGTATCCGTAGGCATGTGTGTTTAATTTCTGGGTCTTCTATTTGATTCCATTCATCCACCATTCTGTTTCTATGCTAGCACCATGCAGTTTTTATTACCATTGCACTTTAGTACAGCTTGAGATCAGGGACAGAGATACCTCCAGATAGTCTGTTGTTGTACAGGAATGTTTTGACATTTTGGGGTTTTTTGTTTTTCCATGTGAAGTTGAGAATAGTTCTTTCAAGTTCTGTTAAGAATTTTGTTGGTATTCTGATGGGAATTGTATAGACTGCTTTTGGCAGGATGGGACAGGAACACTTCAAGGAGAGCAACAGAACCAAGAAATCTAGACCCAGCAGTCTTTTCTGAGACTGATATTCCAACCAAGGACCCTTCATGGATATAACCTTGAACCCCTGCTCAGATGTAGGCCATAGCAACTCAGTATCCAAGTGGGTTCCTTAGTAAGTGGAAGAGGGACTCTCTCCGACATGACATCAGTGGCTGGCTCTTTGATCACCTTCACTTGACCTGATGGCTGTACAGCCTTGCCAGGCCACAGAGGAAGACAATGCAGCCAGTCTTGATGAGACCTGATAGGTGAGGGTCAGATGGAAGGGTAGGAAGACCTCCCTTATCAGTGGACTTGGAGAGTTGTGTGAGAGGAGATGAGGAAGAGTGTGATAGGGAAGGAATGAGGGAGGGGCCTACAGCTGGAATACAAAGTGAATATACTGTAATTCATGTAAAAAATGAAACAAATCTCTTTCCAACTAATGGAGAACATCTCATGAAACCATAAATGGACACAATGCAGAGAGCACTGGACTGTACGGCATCCATCCCCAACAGATACATTACACCACAGTGTCAGTACCCGGGGTTCAAGGAACACGGAGGGGCAGAGATAGTGTGAGAGCCATAGTTCCAGGAAGTCTACTGTGAGTGTCTCTCCTGGAAATGAGTGCATAAACAGGAGTACAACAGTCAAAATAACAATGGACATGTTAACATGGAGGGGGGAGCTTTCCCAGTGTTCCAGTCCTAGGCAAAGAACTAGTGTCAACTAAAGGAGAATTAGCCTCTCCCAGGGATTAGCTCACTTATGCCAGTGCAGAGTGGTCAACCTTGAAACCACACACACATCACTAACAAAATTGATTCAGCAGATTTATATGTGTTTGTGTACATACCCAATCACATCCACACCCTCATGTAACAGTAATATAGAAAGTAAGGCTATCAACTTGAGAGTAAGGAGGAATGGGAAGAATTCAAAGAATGCTGGTTGTAAGGAGCTGGAGAGAGGAAAGGGAGCAGGGAGGTGATGTAATTCTATTTCATTAAAAGCTGACTTTAAAGATTCTCAAAATAAAATAAAATAGTAATGCATTCATTGTAATATATAAAGTCATAACTAGACATTAATTTTAAACCAGAATATTCAAGGATGTCATTTTTGAGAAAAAATCGTTAAAGTTTCTGTTTGTATGTGTGTTTTAAGCATTGTCTTCCTTCCTCCTGTCAGACACATACACATACACTCATCTAAGTTGGCAAAATATTGTAACTGTAAAAATTTAACTTGTATGAAGTGAAGGTAATGTCTTACAAATGAGAGTTATAAGTATATGACTGGGAACATTTAAACTAAATGAACTATATTGATTCTTCATTAGCATATCAATCATCACGTATGGGATTCCTGTATATATTTTGTTTTTTTTTTAATTTTTTTATTTTTATTTTATTTTTCTTTTTAGTTACATTTTGTTAACTCTGTGTCCCAGCTGTATCCCGCTCCCTCATTCCCTCCCCAACCCCACACTCCCTCCCTGGTCTCCTCCCTGCCCCTTTCCAAGTTTGAACTTAGTATTTGCAATATTATTGAATAGAGAGACAGGGGCTGGAGATGCTGTCACTTTGCCTTGAGTCTACAGACTATGAATGTAATGAATATAATTTATTTTTCAAATTCAATGAAAATAAATGCAAAGCAAATATTTAAATTTTATGCAGAAAAGTGTGTGGCAGTTAATGTGAATAGTTTGTTATTGAAATGTAAGACACACATTTGCTCAACTATGTTCATAGCAGTTTTATTTGTAACAGCCAGAATCTGGTAACAACCTAGATCTTCCTCAACAGAGGAATGGATACAGAAATTGTGGTGCATTTACACAATGGAATACTACATCAATTATAAACAAGGCAATCATGAAATTTGCAGGCAAATGGATGGAACTAGAAAAGACCATCCTGAGTGAGGTAAACCAGAAGCAGAAAGACAGTAAAGACATACAGTATATACTCACTTATAAGTAGATATTAGCCACATAATATAGGATAAACATTCTAAAATCTGTAGTCCTAAAAACGCTAAACAATAAGGAGGATCCTAGGGAAGATGCTTAATCCTCATTCAGAAGGACAAACAGGTTAGACATTGGAAGTAAGAGAAGACAAGGAACAGGACAGGAGCCTTCCACAGAGGACGACTGACAGACTCTATGCACCAGGCTATCAAAGAGATACTGAGACTCGTAGCCAAACTTTGGGTAGAACACGGAATCATTATGGAAGAAGTGGAGATAGAAACAGCTGGAGGGGACATAAATTCCACAAGGAGAACAACAGAGCCAAAATACCTGGACCCAGTGGGTCCTGCAGAGACCGATACTCCAATAAAGGACCATGCACAGAGAGGACCTAGAACCCTGTTCAAAGGAAGCCCATCAGCTGCTCAGTTTCCAAGTGAGTTCCCTAGTAAGGGGTATAAAGGCTGTCTCTGACACTAACTCAGTGGCTTACTCTTTGATCACCTCCTCTTCGGGGTTCAGATATGCCAGGCCACAGAAGAAGATGATGCAGCCAACCTTGATGAGGCCTGATAAGCTAAGATCAGATAGAATTGGAGGAGGTCCTCCCCTATCAGAAGACTAGAGAAAAGGCATAGGGGGAGAAGAAGGAAGGTGGGTAGGACTGGGAGGAGATGAGGGAGGGGCTGCAGCAGAGATACAAAGTGAATAAATTGTAACAAATAAATATATAAATAGAATAAAATTTAAAAATATTTTATGGTAATTCAAGCCCCTATATATTAGTTTTTTTTAATTAAACCAAAAAGAATTTTAAAAAAAGAAAGAAAAAATTCTTCCTAGAGGAAATAATAATACAAAACTATACAGAAATACTTTTTTAATCAGAGTGTCAGAAGGCTTTACTTTTAGTGGTTGATAGATATTTTTTCCAAGGCAGTAGATTTTCTGAAGGAGTTGAATGAATAAATATAGTCAATGAATTAAATGAATGAATGAATGTGGTGAATTCAATAACTGTACAAAAGCTAATAAAGTTTAGGAAGCTCAAAAGTTTCGAAAAGTATAAGATTGACAAGGTATGTAAACAAGATCAATAATCAATAATAACAATCAACTGCTAGAAAAACAATGTTTTTTTTCCCCAGTGGACTGTAAGGAA